TTTTTTGGTTTTTCGAGACAGGGTTTCTCTGTGTAGCTTTGCGCCTTTCCTGGAACCCACTTGGTAGCCCAGGCTGGCCTCGAACTCACAGAGATCCGGCCGCCTCTGCCTCCCGAGTGCTGGGATTAAAGGCGTGCGCCAACACCGCCCCGCTAAGTTTTCTTATTGTAGTGGTAGCCATTCCAGCTTTGATCTGGAAATTCCAACCCCCATTGAGGCTTCCGTAACTGTCACGCCTACAAGGCGGGGCCAAGAGAGGTGCCAGCCACCCTGGTTCCTACAGTTCAGAAAGGAACAGCTGCTCCATCAAAGAAACGGCCTCTGCCCTTCACCGTCTAGGGTCCAGGAACAGAGAGAGTGCGCTGGTCCGCTGGTCCATCCAGATCTTGGGTCTCCCGGCGCCTCCCTTGGCCCCGCCTTGTAGGCGTGACAGTTACATAAGCCTCAATGGTGGTTAAAATTTCCAAATCAAAGCTAAAATGGCTACCCACTACATCTTATTGATAAAGTAATATTATCTGCACTATTGGAAGCCTAAGATTAAATGAAATCATTTAGATAGCAGGCTTGTCAGAGTATCTACCACATTCCAAGATTTGATAAATTCACCTATTACCATTGGTAGCTATAAAAGTTGTGGGATCTGTGTGCATTTAGGTGAATGAAATCTCTACAAGGGTTGTAACCATTAATTGTGGGATATAGGAATTGTAGTGTGTTTTATAAGTTCCATTGCACTGTAAAATGCATATTGAAGGAGCCATAAGTATATAGCTCAATGGATTTTACAAAGCAAATATACCTGTGTATCCAACAGCATCCAAATATAGACCATTCAGAGAACCCCAAAATCCTTGTTATGATCCAAAAAAAAAAAAAAAGAAAAGAAAACTATCACTTTCCTAACATCCAAGTGCTATAGATTTGCAAACTTTATACAAATGGACTCCCAACCTATACTCAAAAGAGTCCAGCTTCTTTCATAAAATGTGTCCATACCATTGTTTGAGGAAGTATTTTTGTCTTTCATTAGGTTACATTCAACTGTATTTCCAAAATTAATGCATTCATTTTATAACAAATGGGCTTTTGAGTTGTTTCTATATTGGGACTATGACAAAGATTCTTGCTATGCTACAGGTTTTTGTTGATGTATGCTTAGTGAAATTTTTTAAACTTGGGCTCATTGAAAAGCAAGAATCACTCCTCATGTGAACTTCTATTTAGGTACCTTGGATAAACATAAAGAGCTGGAGGAGCTCATGGCTAAGTTCTTGAATGTAGAAGCAGTGATGATCTTTGGAATGGGATTCGCAACCAACTCAATGAATATCCCTATATTTGTTGGAAAGGTAAGCATTTGTTGTCAGGTGTCTTCTGCTGTGTTATTCATAAGAATTACACTTTCAGGCAAGTCCTCTATCAGAAGTGTTGCCAAAAAGGTCATTTTCTTAACATCAAAATCTTTGGATAAACATATCAACATAGTCATTGTGATGATCCCAGTTACTGAATTGCCAGATTAAATGTGTATCAAATGTCAACTTCAATAGTAGCTTAGAAAAGCCTAAGTTTTAAGGACTTTCATCTACAGTTGTCAAGTAGCAAATACTTACTAAGCATTACTTTAGACCAAAAAAGTTTCTATGTTATTCATTCGTTCATTCATTTAGTTGACCAATTATTGAGAGTCTACATGTTATGGCATGAAGCCACACACAGGATATAAAAGGATGAACAAGACATATGCCTTGTAAATGTAAGTGTTTAAATTACAGTGGAGAAACAATATACTCAATAAAATTGAATGGGTACTACAGGACAAATGAGCTGACGGCTCTTCCTGAGATAGCTTGCAATGCCTGTACTAGAACTATGAGAACAGAACATTATGGTGATATTTTATTGTACTGAAATGTGATTTTAATTTTATGTTAATAAATAAAGTTGCCCTGGGGTCAGAGCTATTAGAGCCATAGCAAGAGTGTGGTGGTTAGAAGAGCTAGATATATTTCTGTG